GGCCTCTCAGTGAGACTAGGGGACAGAGAATTGTGTGCCTTAAGAGGGGGTTAAGTGCATATTCCTCTCTCTCCAGCTGATTTGCCTCGTCCCTACGTGCGGGCCCCTTTTGAGACGCCCCAAACAGAGTGCAGTTTATGGTAGACCTCCAATGGATAGGTTAGAGTCAGAGCCCGAGAGAGAGGTCGGGGAGATCGCTGGGATGGCAGCAGAGAAAAAAAAGCCAAATGCGGAGGAACATCTAAACCCCGAGAACAGGCTGCTTCTGCAGTCCCCATGATAATGCTGACTTGGATCTGATTTTGCCACCGAGTTCCAGTAGGGCGGGAACAAAGCCCAAAGCGGTGTCAGGTGGCTGCAGTGGGAGAGGTGGCCGCGGCCTGCTGGTAGCTAATGAACTGGCCGGAGCGGAAAGAGAGAGCATTCAAAGAAAGCAGAGAGTGGCGCCCACCACATCCTGCCAAGGCCTGATACGCCTGGGAGACAATGGGTGAAGCTGCAACAATTACCAGCAGCCCTCAGCCCCTGGGCGGTGGGTGGCACTGACCTATGGCACAGCTAAGCTGTGAGTGCTTCTTTATGATGTTCCTCTGTAGTTGACACTCTACGTCGTAAAAGACACTTTTCTGTTCTTTGCCTCAAGAAGTCACCCACCTAGATATGACTCCGTGGTAATGATTATAAAGCAGAATATACGTATTTAATGTATAGGTAAGCAAGAAGCCAGGGTCACTAATCTTCATGCTTGTTGCATGCTTGTTGCATGCTTGTTTGCATGGTTGCAAACAACCATGCTTGTTGCAAAAACCGTGCAGCAGTTTACAGAATGCTTAGTGCTAAGGCGGCTCCAGAATTTCCAAACAGAAGGGTGGTCCAGGGGGCCAGTATGTTTGGAGTCTGGAAGCTGCATCTTCATGGCTCCTTTCACAGTACCGAGCAAACCTCAGTTGTCCGTATCAAAGAGCGAGTGGGGACTTTAGTCCTAACTACGATCCCCATCCCCCCAGCCGTCCTGCTTAGCTTAATCCTTCATTTCATCAGGATCCCCAATCTTATCCCACTCCCCGCAAGGAAAGCCTTGTTCGGTGTTAGCATTATACTCTCAAATCAACTTTGCTGATTTTCAATATGTTTACTTCAACCTCCAATTTAAATAGCAATACAAGTCAGCCTTAGCTCCTCTCTTTTGAACCCACCCTCTCCTTTCCAGCCCCTGCAGTCCCAGCTTAACATCAGGTCCCCCTCAGCTCCCTCCTAGACTATTGTAAAATCCTCCCACCTTCCTCCCATTCATCCTGATGCCTGAAGGGACTCCCTTAAGGTGTATTTGAGCCAGTCACTCCCCTTCTGGAACAGTTCTCTGCAGTATCCGGTCTGAATTCCCGAGCGTGACATCTCCAGGCTTTTATGATGTGACCCCTACCTACCATTCTTAGAAAAATGAATATAGTTCTTCCCATTTTTGCGGAGGTTAACAATGTAATGAAGGCCTTTGTAAAGGACCTCCAGGATTAGGGCCTGCTGAGCACTCTTCAGCATTTTGCAGCTGCCCAGACTACTTCCTTTTCCAGGGAGCAATCTCCGCCCAAGAAACAATGAACTCCCTTAGGATCTTCCCAAGGTCAGTCCTACAAGGGGGTGTGGCTTCAAATCAGGGCAGGTCACAAAGACATTCCTTTCCCAGGTAAAATACCTTTACCCTGGTAGCATTTGCATTTTAACATTGGAGAAAATACAAGCCATGAAAGAGGAATAGAAATACTGGGGAGCTTCCGTCTCTTGGTAACGTCAGGCCACTGAAGGAGACTGCCTACCTGTGCAGTTTTCCTTTGCAGGTGACTTTTTCCCTGGGATGAGTGAGTGCTTTTTTGAACCCTAACCAAAGAGTTCTTTGGAAAAGCAGCCTCAGTGCCCCCGGGGACTGAGAGGCTGAGGCTGCATGGTGGATCCTGGTCCCAGGAGCACATTTCTTCCGAAAGATCACGCTGGGGGGCCTTCTACCAGGAACACTTCTGTGCCTTCTCCTGGCACCACCCACGCTCAGCCAGCTGTCTTACTTTCTCAGAAGCTAGAGAACAATCTGGAAGGGCCAATTTTGTGAGTTTTCTCCAACCTCGCAGATGAATTCAACAAAACCTTTAGCAGAGTACAAGAAATTCTGACCCACCTCCCATCTTTTTTAGGGAAGCTCAAAAAACAAACCAAACATAAAGTAATGGCATTCTTACCATTCACTTTCCGGACATGGTTACTGGCCTTGCATAGCTTATGTTCGGTTTTTGGTATGAGCTGCTGCTTCCAAAGGGAAGCCCTCACCCCAGGGGACTGCTCTTAAGTAATATTCAAAACCACCATCCCTAGAGAAGTCAGTAGGATTTATTTTCTAGAAGACCCAGTTCCTGAAATGAGAGGCCTCTGTAGCCCATCATAACTCCTCCTGTAGGCTTTGCTCCCTTCACCCTTCCCTAATACATCAATTAAAACCATGTCAAAAAATAAAAGCAGAAAATCCCATTCAGTTTGGCAATAATAACAATAATAATAATAAATGTATTTTTCATGTATCTGAAATCCAGTAGTAATTGGTGTTGCAGGTCAGGTTTGATCCAGCTGCTAAGACAATGCCACTAAAGTCATCACTCTTGGGTTCTTACAACATGGGCTCCACATGACACAAGCTGCAGCCCACCTGGTCCCATACCCTCCACCCCACGGATACAGCCAAGGTGAGGGATGGGTGCACAGCCTCAGTTACTCTAATAACTTAGCATAAACGTAAACCATCCCGGTCTGTTCCAGACCATCCCCCTTTGGTCCCTTCCAGTTAGCTGCCTAGCTTCCAGCTCCAGCCCTTAACGAAGGGAAACACTGGTAATGAACGTGATATCTGCTTTTCCACTGAGGGCTTCTCCAGCAAGTCACCTCTTTGCATTTCTCTCTAGGCAGCCCATGCAGAGACGAGCTCTAACCAGGATAGGATGAGAATAAGCCCCTGAAAGCAGGGCAAAGACCTGTTTTCCTGTTCAAGTTCCCCAGATGCTCATGTGGACTCCCTTCCTTCTTTGTAGGCATATGGATTCATGAGCCTCTTCATGTCCCCTTGGGGCCCACTGCCCATCCCTGTGTGGTGTGCCCTAGTCTGGGCACCATCTCACCCCACTTCACTCGTAGGCCACATCAGAGCTCAGCCTGACGAGCCCACAACTAAGGCTTCCTCTGACCCTCAGTAACAGCTCAGCCAACCCTGGGAACAGCTCCCATGTTTGTGCTAATTCTGTGAGCTGCATGACTGATGGGTCAATCAAGGTGCAGGTGCTCCGTGTACCTGCCTGAAAATCTGCCCGTCCTCCCCAGCTCTGTCGCTGGAAAATCTCAATCGGCACACATGAGTCCTTTCCTACTGGAGCCCCATATCCACTCCTTGACTTTTTAAAAAATTTATTTTATTTATTTATTTTTTTGGCTGCGTTGGGTCTTCGTTGCTGCCCGCGGGCTTTCTCTAGTTGCGGTGAGCAGGGGCTACTCTTCGTTGCGGTTGCGGGCTTCTCATTGCGGTGGCTTCCCTTGTTGCGGAGCACGGGCTCTAGGCGCTCAGGCTTCAGTAGTTGTGGCACGTGGGCTCAGTAGTTGTAGCTCTCAGGCTCTAGGGCACAGGCTCAGTAGTTGTGGCACACAGGCTTAGTTGCTCTGCGGCACGTGGGATCTTCCCGGACCAGGGCTTGAACCAGTGTTCATTGGCAGGCGGATTCTTAACCACTGCGCCACCAGGGAAGCCCCACTCCTTGACTTTGAAGCATATGCAGCCTCCCCAGGCACAGTGGTACCCCAGGATTCTGGCCCATGAAATTCCCTAAACCAGTCTCCTGTCTAATCTAATCCTAAAACCACTTCTCTTAGATTGACCTCTAGCTCCGTTCAGTATATCCTGCTTTCCTTCCAGCCCTCTTCATTTGCTTTTCCTCCTAAAAGCCAGAATATTTCATTAAAATTTCACATTCTACTGTCTTCTCCTATATTCCCATCCCAAAATTGCTGAAGAAAAATATTTCGCACCTCCCTTTTAATGTTTAATGTACAAGTAGTATTCTTTCCTCTGATCATTAACATATTTGAAAATCCGGCTTTATATCTTTCCCTGCATCTCATTGCTCTGTGGTGCCCGGCACTAGAGAATATAAGGCTGGCTCATGATCTGATCCCCATTGTTCTACTTTGCACAAAAGATGTTTGAGACTTTAGAAGGGCCTAAAAAATAAATTTCCTTCCTTTGCATTGAGTCCTTGGGTAACCTTTGTATACACCTGTGTTATTATAGGTGAGCATCAATGCAGGGATTTTCCGAAGGAGATATTTGGATAAAAACAAATATAGTGAGAAAAGAGGGGAATTCCCTGGTGGTCCAGTGGTTAGGACTCCGCTCTTTCACTGCTGAGTGTGCAGGTTCAATCCCTGGTCAGGAAACTAAGATCCCACCAGCCACGCTGCGAGGCCAAAAATAAATAAAATAAAATAAAGGAAAAAAGGGATAAAATATTGCAAGCAGCCTCTTATTTTAAAAAAAAGAAAGAAAAGGAAAGGGAACCCTTGTACACTGTTAATGGGAATGTAAACTGGTGCAGCCACTGTGGAAAACAGTATGGAATTTTCTCAAAAAACTAAAAATAGACCCAGCAATTCCACTCCTGGTATATATCCCAAAAAACCGAAGACACTGATTCAACTGATACATGCACCACAATGTTCAAAGCAGCATTATTTACAATTGTCAAGACATGGAAACAACCTAAGTGTCCAACAATAGGCGAATGGATAAAGAAGATGTGGTATATATATATATATATATATATGTGGTATATATATATATATATGGTGAAATAATACTCAGCCGTAAAAAAGAATGAAATTTTGCCACTTTCAGCAACATGGATGGACTTGGAGGGCATTATCCTATGTGAAATAAGTCAGATAGAGAAAGACAAATACTGTGTGGTATCGTTTATATGTGGAATCTAAAAAATACAACAAACTAGTAAATATAGCAAAAAAGAAGCAGACTCACAGATCTAGAGAACAAACTTGTTACCAGTGGTGGGGGGAACATAGGGGCGGGGGAGTGGGAGGTAGAAGCTATTGGGTGTAAGATAGACTCAAGGATGGATGGAAAAACATGGGGAGTATAGCCAATATTTTTTAATAACTGTAAATGGAAAGTAACCTTTAAAAATTGTATAAGAATAAAAATTTTTTTAAAAAACACAGCGGACACTACCCTTTCTGAAGCTCCAGTCCTGGAAGTGCCTCTTGCAGTAGAACTCTAGGCTGGGGAAGAGACTCTTAGCACAGTGTAATTCAGGAGACAGCCTAGCAGGAAGGGATGGTGGTAACATAAGAACTGAGGGCTTGAGGTGGTTGAGGAAAGAGAGTGAGCGTGAGGGAGAGAGTCTGTGGAAGATGCTGCCTGCCCACCAGGGGTGGTCACGAATGTGCCTGATGCCCGTGACCATGGCCAGGATCCGTGGCAGCTGACTCGACCGGTGCCACCACTCCTGAACCTTCTCCCCCTGGTGCTCTCTGGATGGACTGGAAACGTCCTTGTACCTGAAGTGAACAACTGTTTGACCCTCCTCTGAGTCCCACCTCCCTTCTCTAAGAATGGCCAGGATGTAAGAATCAAGGCAGAAAAGTTTTACTAGCCTTGAAAAGAGTCAAAAAAGTCTGCCAGCCAGAAATGATGTCCAATTATCTCTCAGCCTGTTTGTCAGTCAGCATTTACAGAGCTCTCCATATTCACAGCGTGGGGAGCTGATGGCAGTCAGCAGTTAGCAGTCGGAACAGAGAACAAGACTAGGGTCATGGGTCCTGTTTTCAATTCTTCTTAAGATCCTGATTCATAGTCTGAATGAATCAGCCCCGAGCCCACTGCCTACAGGTCAAGACCTCCTGCACAGTTGCAGGGCAGAATCCAAAACTTGACATCAGCTCCTCCTGGCCTATCAAGCTTGAGTCTGCAGCTCTCTCCTCACAGCAACGATTTCTGCTTTCCTCTCATGAGTCCTGGCAGACACAACAAACAAATCAAATCCTAAACAAATGAGAATGCCAAAGCTTACTTGACCATTCAAAGATCAATGCAATTATAAACATCTCTGTACTTTCGACTGACTGCTTCATTATTAATATGAAAGTAAAACTCGTTCTGAGCTCTCAATGTGGTAAGTGTTCTGTAATGGCATTTACTGACATGGCCACGATATTGAACACTTGGGAACAGATATAATAAATAAAGCATGTTACAAGTATGCTTACTTTAGGTTTGATTACTTTCCAGTCGGACAAGCATGAGTTTGAACGCCGCTTTGCCACTTGTTTGAGACGCTTCAATTCTCTGAGCCTCAGCTTCTGCATCAGAAAAACAAGGATATTACACCAGCACCTAGGATTGTTGCAAAGATTAAATGAAATAAGATTTGAAAAAGGCCTAACAGAACATTTGAAAATGTAACACTTGAAAATATAACGTTCGAAAATATAAATAGTAGCTATTATTTGCGCTGTGTTAAATAAAAGTTGCAGCATGATGTAATCAGGAGATCCAGATAAACAGAGGGACTCTTAAAAAGGTTTTTTCTTCCTTTTTGCAGTCAACAGTGTTCATTGGGTACATACGCTGTACCAGACGCCATTCTAGAAGCAGGAAATACAGTAAGGAACAAGACAGGTAAGGTCCCAGCTCTCCTGGAGGTTACCTGAGAACGGCAGGGAGACAACAGAAAAATAAATAATTAATAAAGAAGATAATTTCAGATATTAAACAGGGTGATACAATAAATAGACAGCAATTGGTGGGTTATCAGGGACTAATTAGGGAATAAAGTTCATAATTGAGGTGACACCTCACAGAAGGAGGAGCCACAGGAATGTGTGTGTCGGGGGGAAGATAGAGGAAATGTCAAGTGCTAAGGCTTGAAGTGGGATCAAGCCTGGTCTGGTTGGAGAGAATGGAGACAACTTTTCTTAGAGTGTAAGGAGGGAGAAGGAGAATGGTGTGAGATGAAGTTGGAGAGCTAGGCAGGACTTTTGAATTCCTAGCTCAGCTCTGCCACCAGCAAGCTGTCATGCCTTCGATAGAGAGCTTGAGCTCTTGGAGCCTCAGTTTTGCCATCTGTAAATTGGGGGGAAGTGGTGGACCTTGGTATTGTTAAGGCCCTTTCAACTCTATGATTTGCACAGTATATAGATTGAATGCTGTGTTACTCTTTCTATGATGACAACACTGGGGTCAGTTATAACTCGTGCAAACTGCCTGGTTTTGTTTGATAGTATTTTGATCTTTAGGAAAGGGTTACCCCATAAAACAAACCAGTCCCCACGATGTGGAACGCTTTACTCCCCTGATCTCAAAGCATCCTTTGAATTCGTTGTGGCCAAAAGACTAACTGACCACAGATGGTTTTTGGTTCCTGGTTTTATTTTTGGCAAACCACTAGAAGCTTACAGACAGTACCAGGAACCTAGTTTTCAATTTTTTATTTTAATTGTTCTGTACTGTGTCTTCTTGACATGTTTCCAAACAACTGGGGAGCATGTATTAAGACACACAACTGAGTTTAGGAAAACTTTAAGACAGTTTCTGTTTTGTTCAATAGCATTAACTCACATGGAAAATCATCCTGAATGGTCACATGAGTGTTGAAATGCTCTTTGTAAATCTTCATCATCTGGAATATGAAGAAAACTTTAACAATATTCTAGTAGCAGTCTCTTCTCTGGGGATTGAATATGCAGTTGGTCCACCACCAGGACGAATTTACCTTTAGGAAATGACAAACCATTCACCATCATCACCAGTGACATTGCTAATTTAAAGTCAGAAGAGACAACTAAATAAAATTCCAAGCCATCCAGATCAAGATGGTTTGCAATCATCTGAGATGCCTCTAGGGCAACAAATTTACACCAAAACTATGCTGATCAAATTAGTAACTAACTACCCTGCTTAAAAGGCATTTTTCAAGTCCTGGTAACTTCTTTGGTGAACTACTCCAGAACTTAAAAAACAACAACAAAAACTTTCCAAGTTCTTCCTTATGCCTAACCTGAATCCATTATATTGATTCCCAGGTTGTTCCCTCCAATTCTGCCTATGTGGTGGAAAGTAAGCTGGTGCTCTTGGCCTGTTAACCTTTTAAAATAAATAGCAATAACAAGCAACACACATAATGTTTACTAATCTAGGTTCTTGACAGAGTACTCATTTATTTTATTTATTTTTTAAATAAATTTTTTTTATTATTTTATTTTATTTATTTATGGTTTCTGGCTGCTTTGGGTCTTTGTTGCTGCTTCGTTGCTTTTCTCTAGTTGCAGTGAGCGGAGGCTACTCTTCGTTGCAGTGCGCGGGCTTCTCATTGCAGTGGCTTCTCTTGTTGCGGAGCACGGGCTCTAGGCACACGGGCTTCAGTAGTTGTGGCACGTGGACTCAGTAGTTGTGGCTCGAGGGCGCTAGAGCACAGGCTCAGTAGTTGTGGTGCACGGGCTTAGTTGCTCCACAGCATGTGGTATCTTCCTGGGCCAGGGCCTGAACCCGTGTCCCCTGCATTGGCAGGCGGATTCTTAACCACTGAGCCACCAGGGAAGCCCCAGAGTACTCATTTAATACTCACAACAATCCCATGAGGTAAGTACCGTTATAAACCCTACTTTACAAGGAGGAACACTGAGGTGCAGAGGCGAAACTGAGGCAGAGCTGGGATTTGAATCCATGGCATTTGACTCCAGGGTCCGTGCTTTCAGCCACTCCACCATTTTGCCTCTCTCATAATCTACCTAGGTTGCTCTTCACAGATCTACGTCTTTTTTAATTTAAGTGATTCATGAAGAGAAACCAGAAACATTCTTCTTTTTTCTCTCATATTTTAATAAATAAATGTATCATTTCCTTCTTCCTGAATGGAAGCCTAAGATCTGTGCTTTGTCTCAAAACTTTCAGAAAGCGTGTTTGATTTATTCATGCTTTGTCCTTAATGGAGAAAAAGCCTTGCTGGGTCAAACTAAGCCCATGCATCTCCCACCATCTGATTGTTTCAGAAAGTGCGATCCAGCACTGGAGTTACAGTCGGAATTCTGCCTGTCCTCTGGGAAAGCACAAGAGGCCACAAGATTAAATGCATAGCTGAGGCTGGCAAAGTGGATTGAAGAAACCTGATGTGTTGTTCAGGTTTATACAAAAGCTTTAGAGACAATCTGGCTTTTCCTCTTCATTAAAATAACTGCTCTAGGCAGAGAGGTGGTAGCTCAATATTTCTGTCTATCTGTCTATCTACACCACACACACACACACACGCACACGCACACGCACACAAACACACACATCTTCTTTTTTGTGTTCCTTATTGTAACTACAGTTATATTGTGATAATTTCCTGTTTAGTCTCCCAAGTCTCCATCATAAATAGAAGAGCCCACTCTCCTAATTGTCTGTTTCCTCAGCAAAATTCCAAACTAGAAACCTAAAATAGAGAATGTATATAATTTAAGTATATGAAAGATTATATTTGATATCTATCTATCTATCTATCTATAATGGAACTGTATTTCAGGCCACAAACTTAGTGGCATAAAATATATAACTTTGTTTAGTCTCTTTATAACCATACTTGGTATATCTTATGTGGAAACAACCTCAGTCGAGGGAAGTTTCCCTCTCCCTCCTAAGTTGCTGGGCCCAGGTATTGGGTAGGAGGGGGCATCTGGTCTGGGTCATTGTCTATCCAATGATGGCTATTCCTCCAATGAATAAAATCCTCATTCCTGTCTGCTATCCCATTGCCCATGCAGGGAGGCTGCAAGGCTCCCAGGGTTTGGCGCTGTCAGAGGTCAGGGCATAGCTCTGTGAGGCCGCCTGGGGCCATGTACCCAGCACTCCGGCACATGCAGGTGTTCCAGGTGACCCTGTGTCTGGCTGCCTCCCCAGCCTTCGAGTGGGTTGGAGGGGCAAGGGAGTATAGATGCTCACCACTTTCAGTGCCTATGATCCCATCTGGGTTTTTTTTCCACCGTTTTCTTCACCTTTTGCCCCGGGGCCTCCGCCTGGAGGAGGGAGCAGCCCTTGGTAGCCCCCTGTCAAGGCACACTAGAGTTTAGTTAACCTCCCCTCACCTCCTCTCCAATTCTCTTCTTTATGCTCGCTCCCTAAACTGTGGATCTTTGGGGAAATGATGAGTTGAAGGGAAGGCTCACTCTCTAGGTTTTTTTTATGATTGAGCACTTGCACTTTTGAGAGCCAAAAGCCTTTCTCTGCTATAGGAGTTTTAAGCTGAGGTCTGTGTCTCATTGACGGCAACAGGCAAAAGGAAATGGAATGTGAGATACATTGGTCTTTTCATCCAGTCACGTGTACTCATTTAGGAGTATGTGATAAAGGCCTACTATATGTATCCCAACATGATATATACATAGATGTATGTAATACGCAAGAAGTGTATTTACACATATAGGCATGATTCACCCATGTGGTTTTAGCCTAGGGATTGTAGCTTTGGGGAAAAATTAAACCGTGGATAAATACTTCTATCCAGTTGTTTTTTTAATTTATTTATTTATTTATTTTGGGCTGTGTTGGGTCTTCTTTTCTGTGCGAGGGCTTTCTCTAGCTGCGGCGAGCGGGGGCCACTCTTCATCGCGGTGCGCGGGCCTCTCACTGTCGCGGCCTTCTCTTGTTGCGGAGCACAGGCTCCAGACGCGCAGGCTCAGTAGCTGTGGCACACGGGCTTAGTTGCTCCGCGGCATGTGGGATCTTCCCAGACCAGGGCTTGAACCCGTGTCCCCTGCATTGGCAGGCAGATTCTCAACCACTGCACCACCAGAGAAGCCCTTCTATCCAGTTTTTAAATATTTAAGTCACAGCATTTTTTATTTATGTTTTTAATTTAGGGTTTGTAGGATGTTGGGAGAAATGGAGAACTAGAAGAGTAGAAAGATGATAGATAGATAGATAGATAGATAGATAGATAGAGACGTAGAGGTAGATATCTCACCACCAATTGCAGAAGCAAGAGTTTCTGACTCAAGCATGCTGTAATAATCAATGCATATAACCCTAGTCATGTCATTTAGCTTAACTAACAGTCTCATTTTCATCATTAAGAGTTTAAAAGTGTTCAAATACATGGCAAATATAAGATCACAGATTTCAAGTAATGAAGTTGACTGTGCTTGAAGTTGAAAATATTGGCTTATTCATGAATAAGACATTTTAGAACACTAATCAGACATAAAGAATTCCCAGTCCTTGCACCAGATGCCACAATTCAGTATGTTTTTCTTGGTATGAAATTGCCTTCAAGATGACTCAGACACACTTAGCAAAAAGTCAGATCATATAAGATCTTTCTAACAAACTGTGTGAAAGGAGTTATTGAAAAGGAAGCAAATCAATCTTTGATTGGATTGGGCACATCTTTAACTTATTACTACTAGTCTAAGGCAAGAATTTAATTTTTATTTCTCCCTAAACATGCAAAGAGAAGTATTCCTCCTGTGGTAGTTTTTGATTACCTGTGTGGAGGGGACAGCTGCTTAGAGAAAAGAGACCCGCATTTTTCTGAATAGCCTGAACCGTGAAGGGACAATATTCCTCTTCCAGGTTGTTGGACAGGAGCCTGTTTTTGTTCCTGGATGTGTAAACATATTGTCACTGTAAACCCTAAGTGATAAGATTCATGGAAAACATATTCTCAGGGGTTACCTGGGACAGACAGTAGGTGGAATCCTAGGGAAAGTGGCCTGAGGTAAGTGTGGCCACATTTAACAAGTAAAAATACAGGATGCCCAGTTCACTTTAAAATGCAGATAAATAGTGTAAGTCCCATATATTGCATGGCACACCCCTACCAAGGTGGAATCATGTGAAGACAGGAAATGGCCACTGGGCAAGGACTCAACAACCAAAAGAGTAAACAAGTGATCACTGAGGCCATTCTAGCCTCAGAAAATAGCGGAGAGCCAAATTCCACCAAATTCCACCCCCCCACCCCAGGAGGCTGGCAAACTGAAACAGTAATGCTAACATGAGCCTACCTTGGAATTAACCTGAGCAGGTCGGCACAGCATCCAAGCAAGACCAAAGTGGGACAGAAAAGGAACAAGGGGCCTGTGTACCTAGGTTGCTGCGTCTGTCACGCCAATCTGTGTCTTTTCATTAAGTTTTCTTTAAACCATGGTTTATAACCATGAATTCAATTTCTTTAATAGTTATAGGACTATTCAAATTATTTCATATTGGATGAGCTGTGGCAGTTTTGTACTTTTCAAGGAGTTGGTCCATTTCATCGCAGTTGTCAAATTCATGCATGTAGAATTCTTCATAGTATTCCCTTATTGTCTTTTTGATGTCTGCAAGGTCTGTAGTGATATCTCCCTCTTCATTCTTGATATTGGTGATTTGTTTCGGCTCTTTTTACTTTGTCAGTCTTGCTGGAGGTTTGTCAATATTGATTTTTTTTTTTTCAGATAACTGGTTTTTTGTTTCAATTATTTTCTCTATTGTTTTTCCATTTTAAATCTCATTGATTTCTGCTATTCTCATAAATATTTTCTTCTTTCTGCTTGCTCTGGGTTTAATTTACTCTTCTTTTTCTAGTGTCTTAAACTGAAAGCTTAGAGACATTTCTTCTTTCCTAATATGTCTCTAATTCTATAATTTTCCCTTGAAGCACTATTTTAGCTGATATGCTATGTTTCATTTTCATTCCATTAAAACTATTTTGTAATTTACCTTGTGATTTCCTCTTTGACTGGTGGGTTTTTTAGCACTGTGCTTTTTAGCACTGCTTTTTAGCAGAAGCCTACATCAGTGTCTACACAGGCAAAGGTGAACGGAGAGGTGAAGCGAGGGGTCTCCACAATCCCTGCGCAATGCCGGAATCCCACTCCATTGAGGAAAATCCTCCCTCTTTTGTGTTGGGGCACTTTTGAAGGCACTTTACCCCTTTCCCATGGCCGGCTGGGTCCAGCCATCCAGGGCCAGCAGCCATCTCAGTGGTCTGTTATATCCCAGGCCCTGGGATATTTATTGTAGCTCAAGGCAATGAGGTTGGGGTGGGAGAGGAGGGTCCAGGTCAGGGACTGAAGAGGCAGGGATGGGCCAGGGCACATCCTGTGGGTCCTGTAATTATGTGTAAATGTCTGTACAGCGGGGCTGCTATCTGCTTTCTCCGTCCACTGGATGTGCATTGATTTAGACTTCTCCACTTGAGGAGACTCTGTGAAACCATCTGATGGTTTGTGTGGAAGAAAAGATAACCTGTCTCCCTGCACACTCCCCATTGGTGTCAATTGAATAAATGTACTTAACTCCCCCCAAAAAATAACACATTAATTTTCAAATATTTAAGGATTTTCCAGATAGCTTTCTGTTACTAAGTTTTAGTTTAATTCAGTTATGGACAGAGACCATAATTTGTATGATTTTAATACTTTTTAATTTGTTGAGGTTTGTACTATGGCCAAGAATATTGTCTATATTAGTGAATGTTTCATGTATACTTGACAAGCATATGTATTCTGCTGTTATATCAAGTGTCCTGAAATTACCAATTAGGTAAAATATATTGATAGTGTTTTTAGGCCTTCTATATTCTTTTTAGTTTAAAACTTTATTTAATTTTTTAACTGAAATACAATTTAATACCATAAAATTCACCACTTTAATGTATACAATTCATTAGTTATTAGTATATTTACAAAGTTGTACAACAATCATCACTACCTAATTCGAGAACATTTTAATCACACCCAAAAAAATCCCATATCTCTAGCAGAGTCATTCCCCATTTGCCCTACTGTCAACCACTAATCTACTTTCTGCCTCTGTCACTTTGCCAGTTCTGGACATTTCATGTAAGTGGGATCATACAATATGTGGCCTTTTGTGTTTAGCTTCTTTCACTTAGCACGTTTTCAAGGTTCGTTCATGTTGTAGCAGGTGCCAGAACGTCATTCTTTTTTCTGGCAAATGATATTCCATCGTATGATATACAGTTAATCCTCACTATTCCCAGATTCCACATTTGCTAATGCATCTACTCACTAAAATTTATTTGTAACCCCAAAATCAATACTCACAGTGCCTTCATGGTCATGTGCAAACATGACAGAGTAACAAAAATTTGGAGCCACCCTATGCTTTAGCTCTCATACGAAAAAGAAGTGTCCTTTTCATAGTCTACTGAGTGCCATGTTTTTTGTTTTTTGTGGGTTTTTTTTGCTTTTTTTTGATGATTTTACTGTTTAAAATGGCCAAATGGGCAGAAGACCTAAATAGACATTTCTCCAAAGAAGATATACAGATTGTCAACAAACACATGAAAGAATGCTCAACATCATTAATCATTAGAGAAATGCAAATCAAAACTACAATGAGATATCATCTCACACCGGTCAGAATGGCCATCATCAAAAAATCTAGAAACAATAAATGCTGGAGAGGGTATGGAGAAAAGGGAACACTCTTACACTGTTGGTGGGAATGTAAATTGATACAGCCACTATGGAGAACAGTATGGAGGTTCCTTAAAAAACTAAAAATAGAGCTACCATATGACCCAGCAATCCCACTACTAGGCATATACTCTGAGAAAACCAAAATTCAAAAAGAGTCATGTACCAAAATGTTCATTGCAGCTCTATTTACAATAGCCCAGAGATGGAAACCACCTAAGTGTCCATCATCGGATGAATGGATAAAGAAGATGTGGCACATATATGCAATGGAATATTACTCAGCCATAAAAAGATCTCTTCACCTCTTGGCGCTTTGTTCCACAGGCAGTTTTTCCCACACTGCTGGGGAGATTGCCTGCAGCAACTCCAGCCTTACACAATCCCTACAACTAGAAATCCTAGAATAAAATAGATACCTTCTCTCTCCCAGTGTCTATGAGTCATGTCACAGGGAAGGCTAGTGCCCTGAAGGATTAATACTTCTGATTGGTCAGATAGTATCCTAGGGAGGTGGGAAAGATCATGGGAGAACTTAGCCCTTCCAGGACCACATGGAATGTGAGAGGCATAGTGCCCCAAAAGGAAAGGAGAAAGAATACCAATCAGGTGAAATCAACCAACATCCATGCCATCCTGAAATGCTCTGCTCTCCCTCCTGATGCTAACCCAGAAATCCCTCTTATTCACGCTATTCAAAAACTACCGTCTCACGTGCCAACCACCCTGCATCAGTCTACCCAGAGCTCTCAACAGATCACATGTCTGTTTTGCTATTCCCCATTTTCATTGCCTCATTCTGATTTAGAAGAACATATCAATCATTTACATTTTAATGTGCTATTTTCCACTAATGTACCATCTCCAAATAATATTTGGATTTAAAGCCTAAGCGAGTCATTCAAGCCTTTATTCCCAGCTTAAATTAATTTTAGCATAGGCAAACAGGGAAGGAGGCCCTTCCTTGTAACACACCGAAGTCCAGCAGTTGTCCATTTTTCCGTAGGCAAGCCATTGTCACACAGAGCCACCGATGTTAAACCCTTCTGCTGATCACACACCAGATCACCAAGGTAGGAAAACAGAATCTGACAGCAGCCTATGCCCAGAGAATTCCTTCCACAAACAGTCATAAGGTTTCTTTTAGGCCTGGGGCACAGAGGCAGTCACTTTCCACAAGGGGATTTTCTAGGACTCAGAATGATCTTACCTTCTCTGTTTACCCAAACCAAATAGTTGGCCGGACCACATTTCATCTCATGTTGCCATATCTGAGCAGCCCTCTTAAATATCCTTGCACAATTCTTTTTTTTTTTGTTTACTTCCTCTCTCAGTCTTAGCAAAAACACTTTATAAGCCCTCACCTTAGTCATTTTTGACCACTTAATGCCTCTTCTTTTATCTGCAAAGTAAATCTTTTGGACAAGGGCTGCCTACAGCTATGAAAGAGGGGAGAATTATATTGGCAGGATGATGGAGCAGTATCCCAGATGCTACAATCAGCAGGAGTAAATGGAACACGACATTTCTTTCCCAGCACTGGGCAGAGGAGGCTATTATTAAATTGACTAAGAATTCACGCCTAGAGCAGCAGCCACGCACGAGATCTCCGCCGCTGGGCCAACCTTTGTTTTTTAAATACATTCTGCCCACAGGTGGCCCAGTGTTTCCTCCAAATTGTTTCTTGTCAACAAAGGAGCTCACCCCTCACCCTCCCACTTTCCACCCCAAAGTGTTGCAAGTTCTACTTTGACCCTACAAGTAAGACAAAAGTGTGGTTTTCTAGCAGAAGGAAATGCATCATATATTCCTCTATTTCTTCCACATGCTTCTGGTTGTATTGGCATTGATTCATGTAGAGAACTTATTCCCCAGGGGAAAGACTTTGCTAATACAGGAATGCTAAACAATACACACATCAAGAGTTTACTTTCTTCATTCCGTTGGTGACATTGGCCCCTATGGGCCCACGATCAATAGGTGCTTTCTACTTCCTTGCTGTAAAACACTTTGCCATAAAATATTGCCTTCCCATCCTTAGGGCAATGTTTCTCTGTCAACCAATACCATTGTAGCTGGGGTCCCAAGGCAGCTTAGGCTGTGTTTCCAGGAAAATTCAGGCCTGTCCAGGGACCTCTGGAACACTGTGGTTAAATAAGAGGAGCCCATTTGTAGGTCGTTTTGCCTGTGAGTCCAAGAAGCTAACAGGAGGAAACTCCTAAAAGAAGAATAGGTGTGTGCGCTAATGTTGAGTGGGGGGTGATTTTGAGTACAGTGGAGGGCGCAGGGCTCACATTGCCCTTCGCATCGGTCTTCCTGATGCCCTCCACGCTTAGCTTTCCCCTATACCCCCTCTCCCCAGTCTGGCTAGAGCTGGGGAAGTTGAAGCACAAAAATAAAGGAGAGGCTGTATTGTTGGGCCACTCAAGATGGCTGCTCTCTTGCTCTCTGTACATCCCCTGCTTGATCAGTCCCTGCTTCACTCACATGACTATCCAGTCCTCTTAATTATAAGGCTTAATTGGCCCTGGTAACTTCTGTGCCCACCTGCCGTCAATTCCCGCTATAAAGGGCAGCCTCCTTCTCCCCTGAGTAGTGAAGGTTTCTGCCACATCCTGCCTACGTTCTTCTGCACACCGGTGTGGTGTCGCTCCAGGACGCTTTGTGTAAGATGCCCCTGTCCAATTAACCCTTGAAGTGTCTCTCACTGTCTCTGGGCTCTTTCTTTGGTCCCAAGTCTGGGCAACTAAAACAGTTGTGGGCCTGCAGGGTGCAGCGCAACAGAGATGTTTCACTAAAATTTCTGGAGAGCGGAAAGATGCAATCCCTTGTGGCCCGTGTTACAGGCGGTAACACAATTGGACAGCAGTGTATTTTCCCCACTTCAAAGGGGACAACCTGGGAGCCCCCATTGCCATCCGGAGCAGTAGAAAGCCAAGGCCACCCAGCATAGCCCAACTTCTCCTGGATGGAGAAGTCTAGGAGGACATCGCAGGGAACAGTCGCAGGGAGCAAAGCCATGGAGAGAGGCTATGATCATGTCTCACTGAGGCTGCCATGATCCTGCATTATTTGGGAACAATTTAGTGGGGAGTCGGGGATGGGAAGGATGTGTATCTAGAATTCCTGGAATTCCGTGATTAGAGGCTCAGTCAATAAAAAATAACTTTATTACTAATTCTGTAACCCTATTTCCCCCTATGTTCGGTGTGGGGAAATGAGATGCACAGTTATGATAAAAATGCATTTGTTCGATCGTTTGTACTTCTTTTCCCCCAAAGATAATTTTGACTTTAAGTTACTTCATTTTCTAGGTCCTAAATGATCTGCCATTATGGGATCAGTCTGGGTTTTCGTTGGTTCTCTAATGTACACCATTTCCAAGAGGCCCCTAGAAGTGTGGAAAGTCAAGGTAGGTTCAGAGATTATAATATTGGTTTCAAATAACAAATATACTTCCACTGGGAAAAAAGAGAGCGGCCAAGTCTTCAGCCAAACTTCTACTGGGTGTCCCTTTTATAAAACTGCAATTCGGATGCCTGCAATTATTTGCATTTTTGTTACTAATTGCTCCTACCATTGGTGCAGCCAACCACTTTGGGGTGCAATTACCCCCTCGTGGGAGCAATTACAGATGAAAACAGTTCTGCACGTGCAGCTAATTGTGACAAAACAAAAGGCGGCTGGGGAGGACAATTTGCCTCATTAAGTCACAACTCCAACTTCAAACGCGTGCCAGCCCCCAAAAGGCAGAACAGTGGGACGGGGTACGAACACCTACTCTGGGTGTTATAAGCTGGAGCATTCCTTCCACTGTTTACTAATGTATTTTGGGAGGGTTAGATTGTAGACTTCTTTAATTAGAAAAGAACAGCTCAGCTCGGCTACTCGTTGGCCTTGGGCTAAAATGGGTTCTAGATACCAAATCAAGCCAAAGAGCCCTCTAAATAAGCGCTCAGGCTCTCAGATAATGCCAGCTTCTAATGAAATTCTTTTTTTTTTTTTTTTAACAAAGAACACTGACATATCCGTCCCACTGAACTATAATACACATCCAGGTGTCCCTCCGCACACCAACATAACTGCTTCAGCTTTAGTATTGGGAGTGAGTGATGGTTTAATGAGCTGACACATGCGGTCCGATGACCAGGGGCAGCGACTCTGACTGGCAAACTGTATCAAGCATTCTACCCAAACCATTCTGGGGTTTCCAGGCAGCCCTCACAACACACAGTTGTTAGATCTCATTGCCTGATTCAAAATTTACATTAGAAATGAAACATGGGAGTGTATCTAAGTCCACCATCAGCCTGCGTCCCTACTGCTGTCAAATTTACAAACGCACACGTATCCTACTGAACCCTCAGCTGTTTTTTCACGGGAGGCAGTTAAGCACACAGGTTCTGGAGACAGACTAGCTCAGTTTCCTGCTCTATAAAATGAGGACAGTAATAGCTCCTGCCTCGAAGGTTTAAGACAGTGACTAAAAGAGCTAATACATGAAAAAACAGAGACCGGTGACTAGCACTCCACACATGTTAGTTGTTTTTATCATTACCGATGATATTTTCTTTTCCCCAAAGGGATTTTTTAAAATAGATCTTTATTGGGGTATAAATGCTTCACAATACTGTGCTAGCCTCTGTCGCCCAACAAAGTGAATCAGCCACGTGCACACATATATCCCCATATCTCCTCCCTCTTGCGTCTCCCCCACACCCTCCCTATCCCACCCCTCAACGCGGTCACAAAGCACTGAGCTGATCTCCCTGTGCTATGCGGCTGCTTCCCACTAGCTATCTATTTTACATTTGGTAGTGCATATATGTCCACGCCACGCTCTCACTTTGCCCCAGCTTACCCTTCCCCCTCCCTGTGTCCTCAAGTCCATTCTCTATGTCTACGTCTTTATTCCTGCCCTGCCACTAGGTTCATCAGTACTTTTTTTTTTTTAAGATTCCATATATATTCGTTAGCATACGGTATTTCTTTTTCTCTTTCTGACTTACTTCACTCTGTATGACAGACTCTAGTTCCATCCACTTCACTACAAATAACTCAATTTCGTTTCTTTTTATGCCTGAGTAATATTCCATTGTATATATGTGCCACATCTTCTTTATCCATTCATCTGTTGATGGACACTTAGGTTGCTTCCATGTCCTGGCTATTGTAAATAGAGCTGCAATGAACATTGTGGTACATGTCTTTTTGAATTATGGTTTTCTCAGGGTATATGCCCAGTAGTGGGATTGCTGGGTCATATGGTAGTTCTATTTTTAGTTTTTTAAGGAACCTCCATACGGTTCTCCATAGTGGTTGTATCAATTTATATTCCCACCAACAATGCATGGGGGTTCCCTTTTCACCGCACCCTTTCCAGCATTTATTGTTTCTAGATTTTTTGATAATGGCCATTCTCACTGATGTGAGGTGATACCTCATTGTAGTTTGGATTTGCATTTCTCTAATAATTAGTGATGTTGAGCATCTTTTCATGTGCCTCTTGGCCATCTGTATGGCCATCACCATTCCTTGATGAAATGTCTACTTAGGTCTTCTGTCCTTTTTTTTTTTTTTTTCGGTACACGGGCCTCTCACTGCCGCAACCTCTCCCATTGCGGAGCACAGGCTCTGGACCTGCAGGCCCAGTGGCCATGGCTCACAGGCCCAGCCGCTCCATGGCATGTGGGATCCTCCCGGACCGGGGCACGAACCCATGTCCCCTGCACCGGCAGGAGGACTCTCAACCACTGTGCCACCAGGGAAGCCCCCCAGCACTACTTATTGAAGAGGCTGTCTTTTCTCCATTGTATGTTCTTGCCTCCTTTGTCATAAATTAGGTGACCATATGTGCATGGGTTTATCTCTGGGCATTCTATCCGGTACTATTGATTTATATTTCTGTTTCTGTTCTACTACCATACTGGCTTGATTACTGTAGCTTTGTAGTATAGTTTGAAGTCAGGGAGCCTGGTTCCTCCAGCTCTGTTTTTCTTTCTCAAGATTGCTCTGGCTATTTGGGGTCTTTTGTGTTTCCATACGAATTGTAAAACATTTTGTTCTAGTTCTGTGAAGAGTGCCATTGATAATTTTATAGGGATTGCATTGAATCTGCAGATT